GGATTTCAGTCCTTCACGGCGTAGTGTGTTACCAATTGTTTTCTTGGTGACTATGGTCCCAGCTGCCTTGAGATCATTGACAAGATCCTCCCGTGTAGTTCTGGGCTGATTCCTCACCGTTCTCATGATCATTGCAACTCCACGAGGTGAGATCTTACATGGAGCCCCAGGCCGAGGGAGATTGACAGTTCTTTTGTGTTTCTTCCCTTTGCGAATAATCGCACCAATTGTTGTCACCTTCTCACCAAGCTGCTTGGCAATGGTCTTGTAGCCCATTCCAGCCTTGTGTAGGTCTACAATCTTGTCCCTGACATCCTTGGAGAGCTCTTTGGTCTTGGCCATGGTGGAGAGTTTGGAATCTGATTGATTGATTGGTTCTGTGGACAGGTGTCTTTTATACAGGTAACAAGCTGAGATTAGGAGCACTTCCTTTAAGAGTGTGCTCCTAATCTCAGCTCGTTACCTGTATAAAAGACACCTGGGAGCCATAAATCTTTATGATTGAGAGGGGATCAAATACTTATTTCCCTCATTAAAATGCAAATCAATTTATAACATTTTGCATGCGTTTTTCTGGATTTTGTTGTTGTTATTCTGTCTCTCACTGTTCAAATAAACCTACCATTAAAATGATAGACTGATCATTTCTTCGTCAGTGGGATAACGTACATAATCAGCAGGGGATCAAATACTTTTTTCCCTCACTGTATGACTAAAAAAATAGATTGTAAATAGGTTTTTGAACATGGAAGAAGTGTTTAAGAGTCAAATTACAATACTTTTCCTGTGGACTCAGTAACATTTATTTTATTTCCACTACAACATTTGATAAGCTTGGTGTTTGCACAACATGCAGGCTGTATAATGATGACAATCTCCATATATGACGCACACTCACGTTGCACCCTTTGCATAAGGCTGCCTACTGAATGTCAGCAAGATTAGATATGGTATTGCGCTAATGATACCGTTTTAAACGACGTAGACATGGTATAACAGTGGAATATGTGCATACATTTAAAATAGGTTCATTAAAAGCTATAATCGGGTTTCTACTGTCTGTGAATATCCTTCAGAAAATGTTTTCAATTATTATCAATACAAATTTGAGCCAAATACAATCGACATGGATTAAAGTTCCCCATGCCATATCGTTCATGGTTGTTATTTTTTGTTTACCATACTTCACCACGAGCAGTGCTGGTTAGTCCTGGGCGGAAGGAGAATAATTCGAATGTTTTTTTTTAATTCCAAATACGTGACGCACACAGGAAATTATTTATTTTAAATGACTATTGCGCTGTCGTGGGCCACACGTGGTGTCACGTGGCATCAGGCGATGTCACGTTTAATAGGAAAGAGAGGATGCATTATTGCACGGTTGTAAATGCTCCAAATATCTGAACGTTCACAAAAAAACTTCTGAAAGTGTCCTAAAGAAAATGCCATAATCCAAAATCCATCCCCAAATGCATACATATATAATCATAAATTGACAGCCCTTTGTCAAACCACTGATGTCTAAAGGCCTCCCATGCTGTGTCTGTCTTAGGGGTTGATGGTACATACTTCACCATACCGGTGAATGGGGGTTGGTGAAAGGGAAACCCAAAGCAAGCTTAGACGCTACTCACAGATGATTTGTGGCCGGGAATTGAACCCAGATCACGGAGTTCATAACGCAGTATGCAAACCACTACGCAGTGAATCCACGCGGTACATCTCCTTGAATGAACTGTGCGCTCTATAAAGTATGAATAGTCGTGTTTTATGTAAGTCGTAATGACCACTAACTCTTGTCTCCTACCTCTTATGAAATAAAATACAAGTAAATTCCACGCTTCTGTTTACTTAAACGAAATGTTATAAACCTATGCATAAATCGGCAGTTTTAAACAGTTGTTCCTTAGCCATACGTAAGCTCCCATTACATTCTTAGTAGGGTTAATTAAACATAAAAAGTAATTTTGAGATTACCAGCTCATTCAGTATTTTTAAATAAAATTTGTATATGCCATTAACGTGTTCCACAGATGTTCATGTGATGGAGAGAATACAACTTAACAAAACACGGAACGTCGTAGAATGACACCGTGCAGACTTGTCAGACATTTTATGGTATCTGTGAGCACACTGTGTACCGTATAAGCACTTTAATAATGTACATATATTATTGTGTAACGAGGCGTCAGGATTACGATTATTTAAATATATCCTGCGAAGTAACTGTTTTAGACACCAGTACCACCCACAAATCAATATCATGGATGCATTTTAATGCTGTTATAATTACTAGAGTATTGAACGATCTTAATTAATGTTTAATTTCGTTGCTCTCTTACATTTTTTGTTTTCTCTTCAGCATCATAAATATTCTATGTGAAAACGTGAAGTCATTAAAATATAATAAGACTAAACTAAAATGCTTACGCAATCGTGGCTTTTCAATTCTCCTTGGAATATTACACAATGCATTTGCTGGACACAAAACGTTTGCTTTCAACGCTTGAAATACTGCTTGAGAAAATTTCCAACAGGACTTCAACGGAGTGCACCACGTTCTTGTAAGAAGCAAAACTTATTGGGTTCATTCGGTATCTATTTTTAAACTTGTCCGATGAGAGAGGCGCGTCTAGCGATGTGTGTCTTGGGGTTGTGCCGCGTCTCATCGTGGCATGGTGTCCGACGTTCCGCTCAATAACCGAGGAAGTGAGCCTGGGCCACTGTAGTCAGCTCCTGAAGAAGCTCCCACCACGTGGCGCGAAACGTCGGAGATCATGCCGAGTAGCACGCAGTGCCAGCAAAACACACACTTCGGACAGCTGTGCAGCGCGACCGCAAAACCTCACAATAAAAGGAAAACATCTTGAAGGGAGTCCAGAGAAATATAATTATATATGGGTACAACTGTATGGAATGAAAACAAATTAAAATCTTCTTCTTCTAGCATATGGCTGGGATGTGTAAATGATACATTCAGGTTTAAGTTCGTGAGCCACGTGATAGATTCGGGAGCAGCGCGGCCAATGCTGTCCGGTCTGCCAGAGAGTGGGCGAACAATGCAGTGGTTCGCTGCATGGTCCATTGTTTCGTTTGGGTGGCCACGATCACTGCACTATGGGTCATCTTTCATTTCCCACTCGTGGAAGATTACCGCACAGCAGCGAACGGTCGCTGTTCTGCATGTAAGTTGCACTTCTTTCGCACCGTACATAGCCAACTATGCTAATCGGAGGTGCAGGGGAAGGACATCAAACTAAACCGAAAAAAAGCAGTTCCAAAGAGGTTTTTTTTTAAAAATTCAATCTAGATTTAAAAGTGTATAGCTCCGGTGGCTTCTAAATATCGGGAAGGAAGAGCCTTTCAGACGTCCGCAGAAGCGCATCTAAAAGAGCGCAATGCGGTGACCGTCTTTGTTCAATGGGTGGCCAAAAGCCTCTGCTGCGAGAATGACCGGAGCATTCGTGTTGGCTTATGCTCCTCGACGAGATCTGGCAAGGTATTTTGTCTCATTTGTGGCAAGCACTTTGCGTGCGATGGGTTCGACCTCATAGTGTATTCGTTCGGCAAACCGGACGCCAATGCATCTCGGCGAGCACTTGGACTGACATTGTCGGCTCATGCAGCGCCCGTCACGACACGCGTCAAAGAATGTTGTACACGCTGCAGCTTGGTAATGTTTTTTTTTTTTGCCAGACCTCTCGTAGAGTAGTGAGTTGCAATAATAGAGGCTTGTCGATACTATACTACACGCCACCGTGTTGGCTATGTTACGACTCTACTTTGGTCAAACGCGTCGTAGATTTCTGATACGAAAACTATATTTTGCACCTGGTGATCAAACCACATTCTTGTCGAGTGTGGTGCCCAGGCGGTTTGGTTGATGGAGCCGCCCGTTTTATTGACGGGAGAAAGCCACGTGGAGCAGCGGTGGGGTCCTCGATGATGCATTTATTAAAATGGCACGAATTAAAAAAAAAACATCTACCGTGTCTCCGGAATATTTTCTACAGAATAAGACCTGTCATTAATAAACTCCCACCTGGTTACAAATAAAGTTCATTGATCGATAGTGAGAAAATATAGTGCAACACTACAAGTATTTGGTGGAGCGGATACGTGGCGGGTTGCGCGCTGCAATATTAAACTATCTTCTTTGGTTCTTTCGGTAAAGTCACGTAGAATGAGAATAAAATAACAAATTGATAAAATAAAATAACACAATAATATTCTCACGACGTTTCGGCCACAACACAAGCGGCCTTCATCAGCGCTGTCCTACCAGACAGTCTCGTCCCTTCACCTGATGAAGGCCGCTTGTGTTGTGGCCGAAACGTCGTGAGAATATTATTGTGTTATTTTATTTTATCAATTTATTATTTTATTCTCATTCTACGTGACTTTACCGAAAGAACCAAAGAAGATGAATCCTTGCAGTCACGAAAGCTTTAAATCGAAATATTAAACTATGCAACTATTTTTTATTTTATTTTACCAGGTAAGGCCCATTGAGCTATAGAGCTCTTTTTCAGAAATGATAGCACAACGAAGTGGCTTAGCACGTATACATTTATAGCAGTCAAAACTCTAAATGCATGTTTCTAATTGCGGAAAAAAAAACCGGCGGACCGGGAGAAGAATCCATACGACCACGGGGAGAACATGCAATCTCTAAATACACAGGCATATGGGATCGGGATTGAACCCACGACCTCCTGCTATACAAGGCGACGCGATAAAATCGACGATGAGACACCTCCAATGATTGACTGGCGTTTAAACGCTCACAAAGTAACTCAACCCATTTGTTATTATGCCATAAAGCAAACCAGTCCTGTTAAATTATATCCCATGAGCCCCCACTCGCCATCCTCACACAAGTCTCTGTCAAACTCTAAGACCTGAGGGGGAGAGGTTTCTAATCAGTTTAGAGTTATGTCGTGTGTGTGTGTGTAAAGGCACAGCAAGTTTTTTTCTGAAGGAGGCCTTCTCGCACTTACTGAGGGCTTCAGAACTCTGCAGAAGGTCCATGAGGATGGCAAGCACCACCACCACCACCACATTGAGGACCCCACGGGACGAGTACGCCATGCCTTGAAGTTCTGACCGAGAAATCCCTGTAGATGGTTGCACCACCTCACCCCCCAGAGGTGGTTTGAACACACACGGGGTGCAGAGGCATGCAGAATTTATATTGCGTTTGCACACGCACTTTTGCCTCGGAGAGATGGAATGTGTTATGCATTACTCACGTCAGCATGCGAGAGATCTTTGAACCGCACGGTAGAGATAGAAGGTATAATTGGATGGGCTGGGTTAATAATTCTCCATGTTTATATCGCTGGCTTGAGTATACGAATATTTTTACAGAATGGGGCATGCTTCAGGTTGTAGACATTTAAAACATATATTTAGCTTGAACTACATTTTTACTTTCTTACCATTAAGTCAGCATAATTATCTATGTACCCATAGATGCCAGGGAAATTGTTCACATTTTGCTTATTTAGCGACCAATGGAACTGCGGTGAGAGTGATTGACCCGATCGTTCATTTGCCCAACTTTCAGAAGCCAGGAGTTTATTTCCCGCTTGAAGCCCATTAAACATCACAGCTCTTACATCATGGGACCTCCTTTGCCAGTACCAAAATATGAAAATAGGTATTTCCCCTTTTTTCTGGCAACAAAACATGTGTTAAGTTGTTAAAACACCCAACTGAAACCTTTTACAAGGAATCATGTCTGCATTAACCACAATACTTGTGGTCAGAATGCAAACAAAAAATATATATGCATTATCCTTGAAAATGATTGGTCCACATCAGAGACCAATCAGTTTCAAAGACATCGCATATATTATCAAGATAATGTCTTTTGTTTGCATTCTGACCACAAGTATTGTGGTTAATGCAGACATGATTTCTTGTAAAAGGTTTCAGTTTGGTGTTTAACAACTTAACACCTAAATTTAGATTCGAAGCTTTCGTGACTGCAGGAATTACTCTTTGGTTCTTTCGGTAAAGTCACGTAGAAAGAAATGAAATGAAATACTAAGAGAATACGACGTTTCAGTTGCAACACAAGCAACCATCATCAGGTACAAATGAATGAGAAAACAAACCTAGTAAACTCAGAAATTTAATGCAATACAACACAGAGAGTCGGCCAACAAAACAGTCAACACCCTACCTGGTTGATTAACGTTCTTCCAAAGATTCCTACATTTGAGAGAGAGAAAAAACATAGACACGGAGACACACAGACAGACGCACAAGCAGACCGCCTCTATGGAGAAGGTTTGCCGTGCTTGTTTATTTCACACTTAACTTCTAATTTAGCAATCTTTGGAACAACGCAATCAACCAGGCGATGCGTTAACTGTGATGCTAACCGACTCTCTGTGTTGCATTGCATTACACTTGGCTTGCACCACATTGATTTTTGCACACAGCGCTTTAATACGTTTTGTTGTGTGTGGAATATTTGCTGGTTTATTCCAGGATGTTTCTGTTACGCGTTGTCGCTTTAAGATGTTCTGCCTTCAAAATTGTGTTTGTTGCGGTTGCACCTGACTTAAGAGCCGCATGGCTCACAGGGCTATACCTAATAAATGAAACTTGAAACTTCCTAATTTTACTAAATTTGCTTTCGACCATGCTTGTTTATGGGTCTATTCTCTCCTCTGGCCGCTATGGGGGCAGTAAGTCCACACAACGCTCCGTGCTTGTTCGTTTAGAAGTCACGTGTCCAGCTCGTCCGTGCCCCTATGGGCAGGAATTCCAGACAACTCCCCCTCTGCCTCCCCCGTCTTTCTATTTAAGGCCTCGACACAGAGACGTTGTCTTTCTGTGTGCCTATGTGTGTGTCTCTCTCTGTGTGAGTCTCTCTCTGCTTGTGTGTCTGTCTGTGTGTCTCCATGTCTATGTTTTGTCTCTCTCTCGAGTTGAGCAATCTTTGGAAGAACGTAATCAACCAGGTAGGGTGTTGACTGTTGTGTTGGCCGACTCTCTGTGTTGTATTGCATTATATTTATAAGTTTACTATGTTTGTTTTCTCATTCATTTATACCTGATGATGGTTGCTTGTGTTGCAATCGAAACGTCGTATTCTATTATTATTTAATTTCTTTCTACGTGACTTTACCGAAATAACCAAAGAGTAACGTAACACCTGTTTTATTGCCAGAAAAAAGGGGAAGAAGCTATTTTCATCACAGCTCTTTTTTTTCTGCCGGCGGAAAATAGCAGAAGCTCAGTGTTTGAATCCTGTTTCAAGAGGAGTGAAGCCTTTCATCGCTGAGGGGTTAATACATGAGTACCATTTTACTGGTAGGAACCTCCTGGTTACACCAGCCCACAGGAGATTATTGTGTCCGTCCGTCCGTCGTGCATCCAAAAATGGGAGGGGTGGGGCTGGGTGGAGAGGGGAGGGTGGGGAGGGGCTGGGTGGGGAGGGGCTAGTCACCCCGTGGTGCCCTTATAAAACTCAACGTTTAACCTACTCACGCCGGCTTGTGCCCGCCGTCACAGTCGGGAATATTTGCGGAATACACCACGTGGTGCCGCCGTTGACCCTGGCCATTGACCGAGCAACCCAACGTTCCTACCAGCTCCCTCCGCAGGAATGTGTTGTGTGAACATTTAGCAGTGTGTTGTCCTGGATTAGCCCATGTCATAAATTAGTGGATATTTGTGTTTTTTTCTCAGGACTATGTACGTGTATGCACAGGCGTGTTGTTCTGTTTGTTAATCTCCTGCCGGAAGAGGGCCTTCTCACCTGGTGCAGGCGATGAGTATTGGTTAGACCACAGTTCACGGGGCTGGACCGTGCTGGTTTGTGAAAGCAGGGAGCATTGGGCACGGATGCATAGAAGTAATGTACAACAATGTGTTTTGCTGCACTGCCCTCTGCTGTCCACCACGTGGTCTGATGTTTAGCAGGAATCATATAATTGAAAAAAAAAAGTAGCTTGTTTAATATTTGGCCAAGAGGCATTACCAAGACTTCTCAATTCAAACACAGTCTTGTAAACCTTAAATTTTTACAATGTAAATTTTGATTTAAAGCTTTCGTGACTGCAGTAATTCATATTCTTAGTTTTTTCGGTAAAGTCACGTTGAAGAGAAACAACAAAATAACAAAATATATATAAAACAATAAAAAATTCTCACGACGTTTCGACCATAACTCAAACGGTCATCATCAGGTGTGTCGGTTTGCATAAATTTATTTTGAAAACGGCATATTTATTTATATATATAAAAATAACGTTTGCGTCACGCGCAACGATTGGCTGTTTGCCAGGACTAGTCCATCTATTTTTTGAAAAGAGGAGGGGGGAGACGAAATTTGTTTTTATGTATGCTGTCTGAAAGGCACTGTAAGCGTGAACAATCAATCAAGAACTGAAATGATTTATCAAATCTTTCCAATGATTGCTAAGATAGAATCCATCTTCTCGGTTGAAATTGTCTCTGTGTTTGTATATGTGGATAGCCTCATGAACGAATCTCTCATGGAAGCCAGATGGCTTACAAAGAACCTCCGTCTTGGAAAAGTCAATGGCATGTGAGCCTACTGAATTAGAACAATGATCTGCTACGGCCGAGGTGTTGGTCCTACCGTGTTTAAGGTCTGCTTTATGTTCACGAATGCGGTCCGAGATATGGCGTTTGGTTTCTCCAATGTAACTACTACCACAGAGGCAACTTAGTTTGTAGACACCAGGGTATTGTATGTCCGGAATCACATCTTTTACAGATGGAACCAGATCACGGATTTTATGTAATGTGTTGAAACGGACCTGGATCTTGTGTTTATTCAAGATTTTGGAGATCTTTTTTGTGATCCCAGCAATGTAGGGTAAAGTGATGGTTTTGAAAGGATCCTCAAGAGGGTTCTTCTTCATGGTTTGAGTGATAGCTTTGCGGATTGTATAGTCGGAGTAACCATTAGCCCTAAGAGCCTGGTGTACGTGCTTGAGTTCACTGCTTATGTGTTCCTGGTCGGATATGCATTGGGCTCTATGATACAGAGTCTTGATGAGAGAATTCTTCTGTGATGGATGGTGGTGGGAATCCGGTTTCAGATAAGCATCCGTATGGGTAGCTTTCCTGTAGACAGAGTGGCTCATTGAACCATCAGGTCTCTTTTTAATTAGGACATCCAAAAAAGGTATCTTGAAATAGATGGCAAGATACCTTTTTTGGATGTCCTAATTAAAAAGAGACCTGATGGTTCAATGAGCCACTCTGTCTACAGGAAAGCTACCCATACGGATGCTTATCTGAAACCGGATTCCCACCACCATCCATCACAGAAGAATTCTCTCATCAAGACTCTGTATCATAGAGCCCAATGCATATCCGACCAGGAACACATAAGCAGTGAACTCAAGCACGTACACCAGGCTCTTAGGGCTAATGGTTACTCCGACTATACAATCCGCAAAGCTATCACTCAAACCATGAAGAAGAACCCTCTTGAGGATCCTTTCAAAACCATCACTTTACCCTACATTGCTGGGATCACAAAAAAGATCTCCAAAATCTTGAATAAACACAAGATCCAGGTCCGTTTCAACACATTACATAAAATCCGTGATCTGGTTCCGTCTGTAAAAGATGTGATTCCGGACATACAATACCCTGGTGTCTACAAACTAAGTTGCCTCTGTGGTAGTAGTTACATTGGAGAAACCAAACGCCATATCTCGGACCGCATTCGTGAACATAAAGCAGACCTTAAACACGGTAGGACCAACACCTCGGCCGTAGCAGATCATTGTTCTAATTCAGTAGGCTCACATGCCATTGACTTTTCCAAGACGGAGGTTCTTTGTAAGCCATCTGGCTTCCATGAGAGATTCGTTCATGAGGCTATCCACATATACAAACACAGAGACAATTTCAACCGAGAAGATGGATTCTATCTTAGCAATCATTGGAAAGATTTGATAAATCATTTCAGTTCTTGATTGATTGTTCACGCTTACAGTGCCTTTCAGACAGCATACATAAAAAACAAATTTCGTCTCCCCCTCCTCTTTTCAAAAAATAGATGGACTAGTCCTGGCAAACAGCCAATCGTT